TAGTCCCCAAAACGACGTAGCATAACATTGAGTTGGTTAATGGATTATAAATTTATAATGTTAGAAAAACTTTCAAATTGCGGTGAGCGTGGATCGAACACGCGACCTTCAGATCTTCAGTCTGACGCTCTCCCAACTGAGCTATCCCCGCAGTTGGCACACCTTCCAAAATAAATTTTTATTAAGCGTTAAGAAGTTCCTAAATAGATTGTTCTGTGCTGGCCCAAATTTCTAACTTTTGGGGCCTTTAATGAAGCATCTATTATGGTGGTTGTGGGAAGGCCCAAAAGAGCCCATGGGTCAATTTTTCAGGTGTTGGTTGGTGTGATTAATGAGAAGGAAAATGAATGAGTCGTCACCAAACAGGAAGAAAAACAAGTGACTGAATTTTTTTTGAAATAAATTGAAAACCAAATTAGTACTGCTAAGGAAAACAAGCCAATACTTTTGCAGCCTGCTACACGAAGGCAGAAAAAAAAAAAACAGTTACCTTTCTAGAAGTGACAAATATCTATCACATACTCATCAATCTCACAAGCCGTCCATGAAAGAACATTCAACTAAAATTGTTTTAATTTGTGGTCGTTTTAGTGTTCCCTCTTTTTCAAAATGAGATACTCCACTTTCTTTGGCTGTTAAGCCAAAATCATGGTCACCGACTCTATTGACTAGGTAATAAAAGTAGCACCAACCCAGGCAGCCATGAACGGTAATGGCAATATAATTAAATGTTAAAGTTATATAAAATTTTGAATACTATTTTTTAAAAATACTAATTTTGTATGGTTTAACTATTAAAAATATTTAATAATTGTAGTAGTTAATTGATAAATTATAAAACAATTGATATTTATTTATTAATTAAAATTTTATCTATAAATTAATATTTCAAATGCTATAATTAATTATTTATAAAAAGAATGTTTTTAATTTGTGTGATCTTTCTTTTTCTTTTTCTTTTTTTTGGATGCCTTGTGTTTGATCTTAGCATTTAGTGTGACAACACCCCGGGCGGCCCCTTTTTTCTTAGGTCTCCATTAGTGCCCCGTCTCAAGCACATGTATCCCCTTTATGATGGGGCAGTGCAATTTTTAATCATGGGATTGAAGGGAGGAAACGACGTTATCTTTATCTTAGGGCATCAAATCTAACGTGATGTTATATCTATGAACTTTTAATTATTCTCTGGTTTAAAAATGAAAAAATAAAATAAAAAATATATATATATATATATAAACGTAAAGATTTGATGAACGTTATTTTAATATCTTAAGAATCAAATTGAGATTGACTAAAGTTTTCTTTGGCAGTCCGGTAGTAGGTTCTTGGGGAATCAATCAATCAAAAAATGTTTGATTCATTGCCCATTTATCTTAACATATCCCATCTAATATGCTTTTCAAAACTTTCCATTTTCAGCTCCAATTTTTTAAAAAAATTAAAGTTGGTACTTTGTTTAGAATCTTTCTAAACAATATGTTATAAATATAATAAATACAGTTTTATTGTAATTTTGTATTGAAAGAATAAATGTAAATTTTTTTATTTATTTTTAATTAAATTTATAATGGGATAAAAACATTAAAATTAATATCTAATTTTTATATTTTTTATAAAAACTAATAATAAAAAAATATTCTTAATGCACATATTAAAATATACCTTTTATTATAAGTTAAACAAGGCATGCTAAAAAAGCTTTAGCCCCACATTACCACCGATACAAAGTCATTGTAGTGGCTGTTTAGCATAGGTCTTTTTCATGTACCTTGTATTTTGTAATTTAAAATTATAAAATGTTTGTGTTTTTTTTTTTCAAATTTGAAAACAGTTGGAGGAAAACTTAGTTTCCAGCGAAATTATAATTTTTAAGAAAATTTTAGTATAAAAAACAAAAAAACCCGTCCCCCAAACAGTCCCTAAATGTCCTAGACGACAGTAGTGAATGTGAAAGCGCATAAATATTGGCTTTCCTAATCCTCGAGGCCGGCCCCCATCTCTTATTCCCGAACAAGAAACATACACTGTTTGGCTTCGCCTGCACTCACTTTTCTCCATTTCTTTATTCCCCCTTTTACAGTAGCTTTTCACTTCTTTATATTCCACTTGTCTCTCTTTGTAATTCAAATTGTTTTCTTCTCCCCCATATAAATCCAATCCCTACTCTCTTCCCTTGAGGACCCCAATTTGTATTTGGATATACTCCTTGAGCCTTTTGGGTTTTAACTTTCCAAGCCATGAAGATGGTTTCTTCCCCTGAAAATGAAGAAAAACGGGAATGTTCAAGGTATAAAGCAGAGGAACAGGAAGAAGATGATGATGAAGCACTGTCGTTGTCTGATTTACCAGTCAATTTGATTGAGGATGACAACCATTTACGGGAAAGTAAAGAGGGAGAATCTCAAGCAATCAAAACAGAGGAAGACTTTGATTTTGGCTCATGGGGTGGGACCATTTCAGCAGAGCCTGCAGAAATGTGTGCTGCGGACGAGGTTTTCTTCCAAGGCCAAATTCTACCACTACGTCTCTCAGTTAGTTCCGACAGTGGCTTGACTGGGTTCCGCAACGACAGCCGGATTCCCAGCCGGTGCATATCCAGGTCAGAGTCCATGGACCATGGAACGGTAAGTAGGCTCACGAGTCTTAGTAGCAGAAGCAGCAGTTCTGGAAGCCGCATTTCGTCGAGCAGTTGGAGTTCTATTACTAATACCACCACCAGAAATCCCAATTCCAAGCCAAACAGAATCAGCAACAATTTCCACACACACCCAAGTCCCAAACCCCAAATTATAGTCTCCAAATCTCGACCCAGCAACGTGGGTAGCCGGAGCCAGAGATCTTCAGTGTGGGATTTTTTCAGATCGGGTCTAGTTCGTGCGCCGGAAATCGAATTGCAAGACCTCAAAATCCGAAATACCCAAAATAAAGCAACCAGAACTTCCGTCAGCCGTAACAGCAGTTGCAGCAGTAGCAACAGCAGCTCCGACACCAAGATTAAGAACCAGAACCCCCAGCGAGGAGGGTTCTTTAATGGGTGCAAGTGTTCTGTGAGTGCACTCGAGACAGTACCATTGAACAACATCGTCGTCATCAAAACCAGTAAGAAGGAGAAACCGCCCGCCATTGCTGCGGAAAGGAAAGGTTTTCCAGAGCTGAAGATGAAAAAGAAAATGAAGGAAAAGGAAAAGGAGAAGGAAAAGCAGGACGGAAAGCAGGCTTTGTCACGGCATAGAACGTTTGAATGGTTAAAGGAGCTTTCAAATTCACATGCAGGCTATGGTGATGAGTGCTGAGGAGGCTCAACTCATGGAGGAAGGATGCCCGCATGCTTCTTTTGCTATTCTTTCATCATTATCGTTTTCCCATTTTTAGGTCTTTGTTTAGTATTTTATTCTTGGATTATATTGAAAATACTTCCATAGGTGGAGCCTCCTTTCCAAGGTCTCTCTTTGACTTGTGAGGGATTTCATGTTAATTTTTTTTCATGTATTGTGTAGTTTAGAATATATTAAATTGTATAATTTAAATTATTAGTTAAAAGTAGTCTTTTAATATTAAAAATTGTATTTTATATAGTAATTTTTATTTTGCAATGGTTACAATTCATTTAATGACTTTTGTTTTATACTGTGATAGAGTTAAAATGGCAAAATAAAAAT